CCAGGGGAGACTCGAGATCGACCCCTAGGTTTTTGGAGTCAAGGATACAGAGGATCTGAAGCTCCCTATACTCCAACTGTAAAAAGAGATAGTGACAGCTTATGAAGGGGTTAAAGCCACTTCAGAAATGCAGCTGCAGCACAGCTCCTCCTGGCACCCTGGTTACCTGTGCTGGGTTGGATGTTCAAAGGGACAGTCTCCTCTACACATCATGCAATTGATGCTACATAGAGTAAGTGGGTTGCACTGATCACACAATGAGCTTGGATAGGAAACCCCAGTCATCCAGAAATCTTAGAAGTGATCATAGACTGGCCAGAAGGCAAAGATTTTGGAATGTCACCAGAGGAGGAGGTAACACGTGCTGAAGAGGCCCCACTGTATAGTAAATTACCAGAATGTGTGAGGCAATATGCCTTGTTTACTGATGGATCCTGCTGTCTTGTGGGAAAGCATCAGAGATGGAAAGCGGCTGTATGGAGTCCTGTACAAGTCACAGAAATCGCTGAAGGAGAAGGTGAATCGAGTCAGTTTGCAGAGGTGAAAGCCATCCAGTTGGCTTTAGACATTGCTGAATGAGAAAAATGACCAATACTTTATAATGATTCATGGATGGTGGAAAATGCCCTGTGGAGGTGGTTGCAGCAATGGAAGCAGAATAACTGGCAGGGTAGGGGTAAACCCATCTGGTCTGCTGCACTGTGGCAAGATTTTGCTGCCCACGTGGAGAACCTGGTTGTGAAGGTACGTCACGTAGATGCTCATGTACCCAAGAGTCAAACCACTGAAGAACATCAGAACAACCATCAGGTGGATCAGGCTGCTAGGATTGAAGTGGCTCAGGTGGATTTGGATTGTCAACATAAGTGTGAATTATTTCTAGCTCAGTGGGCCCATGATACCTTGGGCCATCAAGGAAGAGATGCAACATTTAGGTGGGCTCATGATCAAGGGGTGGACTTAACCATGGACAGTACCGCACAGGTTACCTATGAATGTGAAACATACACTGCAATCAAGCAGGCCAAGCAGGTAAAGCCTCTTTGGTTTGGAGGATGGTGGATGAAATATAAGTATGGGAAGATCTGGCAGATTGACTATATCACACTCACCCAAACCCACGATGGCAAGCATCATGTGCTTACGATGGTGGAAGCAACCATCGGATGGCTGGAAACATCCCCTGTGCCCCATGCCACTGCCCAGAACACCATCCTAGGCCTTGAAAAGCAAGTCTTATGGTGACACAGTACTCCAGAAAGAATTGAATCAGGCAATGGAACTCATTTCTGAAACAACCTCATAGATACTCGGGCCAAAGAACATGGCACTGAGTGGGTATATCACATTCCCTATCATGCACCAGCCTCTGGAAAGATTGAATGATGCAATGGGCTGTTAAAACTACACTGAGAGCAATGGATGCTGGGACCTTCAAACACTGGGAAACACAAAGGCCACCTGGTTAGTCAACACTAGGGGATCTGCCAATGGAGCTGGCCCTGCCCAATCTTTTACATACTATAAAAGGAGATAGAGTTCCTGTAGTGCATATTAAAAACATACTGAGAAACACAGGCTGAGTTATTCCTACCTCAGGCAAAGGCAAACCCATTTGTGGGATTGCTTTTGCTCCAGAACCCGGGTGCACTTAGTGAGTAATGTGGGAGGATGGGGAAGACCAGTGTGTGCCTCGAGGGTATTTGATTTTGGGTGGGAATAGCCAATGAATTAAACTGTATGATGCTAATAACTATCCAACACTGTGCATTATCACTTCTATGGTGGCTACGCGTGCATCACCATACTGGGCACCTCACGATCTTAACCACAAGTGTTCTGGGGATATGAACCTGATTCCTCTCTGATTGTCGCACTAATGAAGAATGAACTTTGATAAAATTGAACAGGCACAGCAGTACAGGAGTCAGAACTAACTTCCATGTGCAACATGCAACAATACAACACCTCACACCGTCTCTCCTGCTTGAAAGACTGTTATCAGGGATGGAGGCCAAAGTCATGGACTAAATTAATTCAACTGACATTTTGTGGATATTTTATGGACATTTTGCAGAGGTGTTCCACAGACTAAGGGAATGATGTCTTTATGTATATCTATCAAAATAAAAAAATAGGGAAGATGATGGAGTATTGGGAAGTGTAAGACCTGGCATGATGTAAATGGTATGGAATAAGGGGTGGATACTGTCCTGGTTTTGGCTGGGATAGAGTTAATTTCTTTTCAGTAGCTGGTACAGTGCTGTGTTTTGGATTCAGTATGAGAATAATGTTGATAACACACTGATGTTTTGGCTATTGCTAATTAGTGTTTAGCCTAAGGCAAGGACTAAGGATCCCTAAAGATTGGGGTTCAGGGATGGTGTTTGGCATTGGTCAGTGAGTGGTGAGCAATTGTATTATGCATCACCTGTTTTTCTTGGGTTATCTCTCTTTGTGGTGGATTCACCTTAGCTGAATGCCAGGTGCCCACCCAGATGCTCTATCCCTCCCCTTCCCAGCCAGACAGGGGAGAGAGTAAGGTGGGAAAAGAAAACAACACAAATTGTGGGTTGCGATAAGGCAGTTTATGCAAAAAAAGAAAGCACAAACAGCATGCGTGCGCACAAAGCAGAAGCTAGCAGTTAATCTCTACTTCCCATAAGCAGCGATGGCTGGCCACTTCTCTGAGAAGCAGGGCTCCAGTACATGTAACGGTTGTCAGCAGACAGCCATCAGAGACAGTGAGTGCCTCCGGTCCTGCTCCTTGCCGCAGCTTTTATATCTGGGTTGATGTCATATGGTCTGGAATATCCCCTTGGTCAGTGTGGGTCAGCTGGCCTACTTGTGTCACCTCCCAGGATCTTGCCCTCAATTGAATGTTACAGTGCTGTGCTCAGTAGTAGCCAAAACATGGGTGTGTTATCAACACTCCTCTAGCTACCAATGCAGAGCTACTATGGGGAAATAAATTCTGGCTCAGCCAGACCCACTACACTCTTCTTTCCTTTTTACTATTATTATTATAATATTTTACCTTATTTCAATTATTAAACTGTTCTTATCTCAACCTACAAGTTTTACTTTTGATTCTCCCCCCCCCCCCCCCCCCCCCCCCCCCCC